GTGTCACAGTGCAGCAGTCACAGTTGATGGTTTGTCTGGGTGCCTGAAAGTCCAGAACTCCTTTCCTACAGTAGCACCAACAACAAAACAAACGAACAACAACAACACCACCACCAACAAAAAACAAACATGCGGTGTATTTTAAACATATCACTTTATCCACCAAGGCCTGAATCCTGAATTTTTTCTTTAATAGGTTATCCACATGTCACCACTACATCAAATGCCGTCTTGACTCTGTCTTGTAGTGGTTGCACCATATCTTGTTATCCATAATGATGTGATCCAGGAAACTTCACTTTCAGCTTCATATTTATTCAACAGATCCTGACCAGCAGTGTTCTTTCTGTTTCTATGTGAGCATTTGTGGGATACACCTTTATGATATTCTAACATTGACACCACTGTTTCCAGTGCAATGAAACCAATATTCATCTCTGTACAAAGTTCCCTGCTCACAATTCCTCAATTCACACAGATGAGTTGGTTGATATGCTCTTCATTTTATGGCATGACAGCTGTACATGGATATCTGGAACATGGCTTGTCTTTCATGTTGCTGCTGCTGAAATACATCACCCACTACCTCACTGTGCTCACATCCATTGTTTGGTCTCCATAAGTGTTCAGCAAGTATCAATGAATGTCAGTGGGAACAATATATTCTGCGTAAAGGAATTCAATTTCACACTTTTTCTTCATCTGCAGTCCCATGTCAGATGCTGTTTTGTCAGACCCCTCTGCTGCCATCTGTCACATGGCAACAAAATAGAATATTGGTGGGAAGGTTCAATCTTTATTGCCATACTATCAACATTCACCTCTGATATTGTGGACAAACAAAATAAGAGGCATTACTTTCAGAGCAACCCTCTGTGAGATGCCATAAAAAACTCCTTTTGTCTCAAAGATGGCTGTGGACCACTGGAGACATTTATTTGTGGGATGTGGTGAGTGATTATCTTTGCATCATTTGCTTTTTAATTTTATTGTTATTGTTACTATTTTCTCTACATCTCACTTATTAAATTATACCCATGAGTTTTCTCACTTTTCTTCTCCTATTCTCTCCCCCATTCTTCTGGTGTGAGGTGAATGAGTAACTCCGTGGTGCTCACACACAGCACTTCTACAAAAAAATAACTAGTTGTATTAGACTGATTTGAGATTTAGTATAGCTCCCTCTGAGGTAGTAAAGGTGAACTCTAGTACAGAAAAAATTCTGCGTACAAGGAATGTTTCTAACATTTACCTGAAGATTTCATATGAACAGTGGAAAGGATTCTGTCGATCAGGACATTTAATACCAGACCAGCTTTAACAAGAAAATATCCTGGCAGTGAAAACTTTAGCAGTTTGACAGTATGATTTTATATTTGTGATTCTGTGACAGTTCTGATTCTAGAGTTCTGCTGAACCACTGACAACCATGGCAACATGATGGGAAAAAAGACAAAAGAACCGTGCTGTTGAGTTGTGAAGGAGAGACTATTGCTGCTTGAGTTGATTATAGCTGGTAAAAAAAATGTTGTCAGAATAAAAAATATGCTAATAATCAGAAACAATCTTTTTAGTCTTTTTGGGTGAATTGATTACGTTGCTCAAAACTAGAACACTCTGACCATCTTGAAAGGAGCAGCACAGTTAACTTGAGTGTTTGGGACAAATTCTAATCTGCTTTGTTTCTTTCTGTTTCCATAATAACTGCCTCTGGTATTTCATTTTGATGGCATTTATTTTCAGTCTTAAACTCCGTCTTCATTAAGATTGGAGTCTGCACTTTGTATTGGATTACGTTTGTAATATATCTGAGAGTTCTTCAAAATGAGAAATATTACAGAATTGTTATTGTTTTTCCCAGTCTTAATGTTTGTACTATCATTAAAATAGAACACAATCAGGGTATTTTACTGGAATAGACAATCTTACATTTAAAGAGAAAAAAATAAATTGTCAAGCAGCTGTTTCTTAACTATCCATTCTGCATTTGTTTTTTGATATGGATATAATTATTATTTTCACTGTTAATAATCTACTTACATTTCATTCTTAGCATTTTAATTTCTTTTACTTAATTTCCTCTGCATCTTTTTAAGATCCACATGTTTCATAAGCTTTATTATTTTTTCTTTTCTCTTTCTGAATCAGAATGTATTCTCTTCATAGACTGTTACTTTATACAGAAGGAGGAAAAAAACCATAAAAGAAATCTCCACCTATCAGAATTCTTAATTCCTTGGCCCATGTACATACGAAGATTGTTCTAAACATATCTATCTCACTGTAATTATCACAGATCTTGTTACTGGTAGAATACTAAGTCAATTATTGAAAAAGAACATTTCCCACATAGCAGTAGACTGTGGGGTTTATTGTTCTAGGAAATATTTTTTTTTCCTCATTGATAGACAATAGAATGTTTCTTATAGATCTATCTATCTTTTTTTCTGATTTGCCTTTGTCTTTATACACTTTGTCTTCAATATTGGCTACTGAGTCAATCATGTGGATTTTTTCAGCTGACAAATGTTGCTTTTTTTTCCTGCATCACATCCAGTCTAATGAGCTTACCTACAAACAATGATTTAAAATATTAATAACCTGTGTAGCTACCTACAAATTAGTGTGTCCCTCAAAACTATAGGAAAGGAAGGCGAATGTAAGCTTCTGTAAGAACACAGCAACATTTCAGATAGATGATCTCATATTCGGCAATAACATATTACACAACATTAAATTCAGCTAAAAATTATCATAAGGCTATAGTCTTAAACACTGGATATTTAATCACAATCTAAACCTCTATTCCTAAGACATGAAGCAGGTATCAAATAAAACAACATATAAAAATATTTTCTTAAAACAACAAGAACAAGCGCTCTTTAAAATTTGATTTGATATCTCTGCAGTGATCAAACTGAATTCTGACTGTGCTCCGTTTCTGTGTCTATGAACATGACCACAGGCTCAGGTCCATCGTGATATGGGTAACAAAATACTCATTAATACTCCAATGTACTTGCATTCCCTCTGCCTTCTCAGCAGAATAATAATTCTACAGTAATGTACAGATTACTGTTATATATTTCATATGTGAATTAAAATGAAATAAAAAGAGTATACAAAGTTGAATAAATATGTTTTATGCTAAAATAGAGGAGTGAGGAAAAGATATCAAAAACTGGATTAGAGGCCTACATGGATGAGCAGTATATCTGAAATAGTTAAATCTTGGTTGAGTATTGCATGACCAGGATAAAGGAATTGTACAGACTCAGAACAGAAAATAGAGCATATGGGAGAGACCAATGTATGTTCTCAGATTTTTGAACTGTGAAACTGATGTAAGAAATAGGATTTCAGAATGTTACCAAGGAAATAATGAGATCTAGGAAGGCCTAGAGAAAGAAAAGGAGATAGCAAAAGATAACCATAAGATTGTGAGGTGAATGACAAGGTGACTGATTATTTGTTTGAGATGATAGAAAAATGGCAAGTAAGACTTTTGAAGCAAGATTCAAGATAAAAGAACAGACTAGAAGTAGAATTTCCCTGAGGACACATCGTAAGTAGAAAGAAATAAAATACTGGTCAGACTAGATGAAGTTAAGGAAGTGTAATAGAGAGTTGTTGGCACAGAAAATTATGACACTGAAAAGATGAAATTATGTGTTTTGAAAGAAAAGGGAAATAACTCTCCAGACAACACCTTCAGAGAAAGTGAATGGCCAGAGGATCCCTAGAAGATCAAAGGGACATGAACTACATATCAAAGATTCTAAGGATAAAAGTTACTTAGACTAAGTGGATTACAAAAAGTAAAGAAAGATGAAGAGTGTGTGCCTGTGTCTGGAGACCAGATTCTTAGAGTTTAAAACAAAAAGATTATTAGCAGCTCTTGTAAGTATAATATCATTGATTAATCTGTTATAGACTGGAGTGAATGGTATAGAAAAATCAAAGGTAATGAAAAAAAAAAAAAAACAGTTGTCCCTAAAATATAATATGCCTTGTAAGAAAGAATATATAAAGCTAAAACATTTACTGACTAGGCTAATGAAAAATCAGTAGAGAAGATAGTCATTTCAAAATGAGAAGTTTTGACTCATCTGACTTCAATGACTGTATTAAATTCAGTTGAGTTCACACGAAAAATAGAAGGCTCACTTAGTAGCAAGTTTTCTTCTGAAAACATCTTGGAGCCACTATGTTGATATTGTTGGTAGATCTCTCCAAAGATTGCTAATGACACTATGAGGAGATCATTTTAGCGGAGGGCAATAGAGTAGAAAAGAAAGGCAAGGGTAAGTAAATAATGTGAACAAAATGAACCAGATTTGGCCCAATTTGTGGAAGTAAAATACAATGCTGCAGCATTATGCAAACAACAAAATTGGGTAAAAATAGAATCTGATGCTTAAAATAACATTTAAAGAGGAAAAGAGGAAAAATAAATAAATAAATAAATGAGGAAAGAAAAAAAAAAAGACGAACAAAAAACAAACAGAAGTCTTTTGAGATCCAACAAATTATTTAAGTTTAAGGGAGAGCAACAACATCACAGATAATCAGAACACTATACCCAGTATGTTCAAGGAAAGGAAAAGAAACTAGTAAGAAAATTCACTTACCAGGATGACATATACTCATTTTCAATAAAGATTTTAAGTGTTTACTATGTTAAAATACACATCATGATGGTATATTCTATTCTTAAAAACAATATATATACATAATTATCTTGTCTAGAAGGATACTGTGAAAAACAGCATTGAAAGCTTTGCTGAAGTCCAAAACATTGTATCAGCTGGTTTCCCTTGGTCAGTAATCTTGTCACAGAAGGAGATTAAGTTCTTTAAACAAGACTTCTCACTTGTAAATGCTTGTTGGCTGTGACCCACAACTGCACTGTCTTTCAGGTGTTTTTCAGTAGCTCTAAGAATGTATATTTGATGTCAGTCTCCTTATCTCTTTTTTTTTTTTTTTTGTTCTTCACACAGTTTACCATCATTAACAGCAAAAACACAGGAAAACACTTCCCTTGTCAGATGACATAACGCAAGTCATCATTGTATTTGGATATAACAGAACTGTAAGTATCTATCCTGCTTATGATCCATGATGCAAAATTTTAGTGCCTTTCACCATTCTTTCTTCTCTCTGGAATGAAATAAACAGCTTTTGTCCTGTACAAGGTTTTGTATATGTTGAAGGCACAAAGCTTCAGCTTTGTATTGTATTTTGGCTCTCAGTCAAATGTAGTCATACTCCGAACAAAAAGATTATGTAGGGTAATTATCTCATAAAATCTGTGCCACAAGAGATGCACAAGAGGTTGTACAGTGACTTGGAATTCGGGAACTATTTTCTGTCCAATAATTGTTGTATTGTGTAGCCTTTGGGAATTATTTAATTTCTTCCACCTTTTATCTTACTTCATTTTTCACATGTTCTGTCTCACCTATTTATAGTACAAATAGCTTGGGGCAGAGATTCTCTTTTATTATCTGTTTGTAAAGATCCTAATAAAATGAGTTCCCAATATCATTTTGGATTTCTGGGTACTTTACAACCAGTAATGACTATGAGAACTGTCAATAAGATTCTGACATGATAAAGTGTGAATCTGGATTCTGATTCTCCTTCTGTGGATATTTTGCTGCCATTTGAGTAAATCCTTTCTCCAATTAGGAATGACAAGTAAAATACATGTAAAATAAATATCGTTATTTTAATTAGCTTTTTTTTTCTTTCTTCTATCCTAAGGTGCATTAAGGAAAACTTCGCAAAATAATACATCTTAATAATACATCTGTATATGCATAACAAACTGTTATAAAGCTTTAATGAGTCTGCAGTCAATTTTCAACTTCTTAAGGATAAAAACTTACACAGAAATGATTTTGTTTGGTTTTGTTTTCTGGCAATAGCCATAAGAAAAAGAAGGGGTTACCCCAAACCACATCGCAAATACAGCCTTAAATGTTTGTTTTGCTGGTCTGTTGCCTGATAACAGGCAACCAGTTCTGTACTTGTAAATTAAGTATACATAAGTTGTATGTTTCTATTTTACTCAGTAAAACCATATTTTCATGGTTGTAATACACAAGAATGCATGCTTGTCTTCAGTCTTCTTATGCGTCTTCCACTGTGCAAGGGGAAGATAACTTTCTTTACAATTCCATTGCTGGGAGAAGTGTGCTGTGGGATCACATTGGTATCAGTTATGAATTTCAGTGACTGAACTATTTGACCCATTCACTTAAACTGACAATACCTTTTCAGTTTAAGCTATGATGACAACCTATACCTACATGTGCTATCCTGAGTTTTTTTTTTTAACCTCTATGAAAAGTATGAGAAAATAGTTGACAAAACCTTTCAGTTTATGACAGCCCCCTCAAAAAAAAAACAAACACTCATTCACTTGTATTAAATATAACAAATTAATCTGAAAAAAAGGCATGCAGAAGGAAATATTTCCTAACATCAGAGCTTAAGAGTGAACTTTTCATTTTAAATAGGTCTTTTAAATTACCATCCTATGTAAATGAAAACATGCAATTAAATAAAAATCTAAACATGAAATAAAGAAATGTAGGCAATTATTTTCTGTACATGTAACTAGACTATCAAAACTGTGTGAAACAAACCAAACAACAAAAAAAAAAACCATGACAAACAGTGCCTAGGGTAGGCACTGGTGCCAAGTCAAAGATGGGGTTGGCACAGGAGAGTTGAAAATGCCAGGGGAATGCATGGAAATGCAGAAGAATGCCCCAGTGCATGACTGCTTTACATGTAATTAACAAAGCAGTAAAGAATTGCTGCTAATTTAGAAGGGGTGGAGGACGTCAGGGAGAAGCATTTCCATTGGTGTTTTTTCACCCTCTTCTCATCCATCTGCTGGGGTACTCAGTGTTTGTACTCACACATGAGAAGAGAGATGCCTTTCCCCCTTATCTGCTACAAGCCATTGAAATAGTGTCTAGATAATAAAATTGGCAGGCTGTTCTTGACAAGAGCTGACAGACTGATTGCTAATTTAATGCTTAGGCATTATTCACATTGCTTTAACCGTAGCTGCAGAACAATGATACATCTCCATTGCTATGCTGTTGCTTGACAAAAAGAAGACAGAAGAAAATGCATAGATGAATAAAATTCTTAAAGAACTGTGCCTGTGAGAAGTACTGAAGCATAACATAAATCTAGGCCGACAGGAGCATTGAGTAAAAAAAAATTCCATAATCTTGCTCTGTATCAAAGTGGTCCTAAAGCACATTTTATTTGGTTTTCATGTATTTTCTTCATTATTAAGAAATAAAGTCAAATCTATTTCTGGTGTATGCACATTTAATTTCTTTGCTCTGCTTTAGAAAGGGTTTGCTTAGTTTCTAATTGATATCTGTAGGTTTTCTGTAATTACTTTAATTACAGAATTACTTTTATGTTTAGCCTGAAAATTTGTGAGACAAAAGGAAGATCTTCCATTTAAAAGTCTCATGAGGGACATGCAGGTGTGACATCTGAACACATCACACCTGTGGCCATTTCAGTTAAAACTTCTCTTGTTATTAACACATTTAAAAGTAAATCAGAGTGCTGACATATATAATTAATAAGAAAACTGATTAACTGCTTTAACAGTCTTCCTTTTGTTCTGTAGAGCTGGCACACTTTAGCAAACCTGTATGCCAAAGTATAAATCACTCTCTCCAAGGGTTGACAAAGGTTTCTACTTGTTCATTTAATTTGATTTGACTAATGCACCCACTCTAAATCTATAAACATGTTTGTAGTAATAGCAAGGTTGACCTCGCTTCCTAACTCCAAACCTATACAAAACTCAGCATGAAAAAAGCATCAATTTTGCTACAGCCAATCAATGGTGTCCTAGATACAGTTGTACAGATTATGAGATTTTTTATCTTTCCAATACTTGATAGAACAAGCTGCTTAAAAAAAAAAAAAAAAAAAAAAAAAGTGCTTTCTTTTTTGCTTTTGTTTTTTTTTGTGAGATTTTTTGGAGTTTTCTTATTTTTTTTGTTTTTCATACTTGGAAAGTCTTATGGCTTCTTCTGGAGGAGTAAAATTGGGTTTACATTTGAAAACTGCATAAAGGAATAAAACAAAAACAGATGTCCAGTAATTAAAAAGCCTAAGTATACCACTTTCTCGTGGTACAATATAATAGCAATGATGCATGTCAGTGACAAGAACATAATTGGCTTAATGGCAGTGTGCCATACCCAAGCTCATTGTAACTTTTGTTCTTGCAGACATCTTGAATCTTTGAACTCCCATACATTTCTCACAGTGTTTGCTTTTGTTCTCGGAGTCTCTAGCTTTGACTTTTGCCCTAGAATTTTGTCATTCCTTTTTTCCAGATTAGATTGCCTAAAGCCCTGGTCTAGTATTAAATGTGGAGGTTGGTGGCCCTGCATGTGGCAGGGAGATGGAGATTCATGATCCTTGAGGTCCTTCCAACCCTGTCCAATCTGTAATTCTGTAAAGCAAAAGCAGCCATAAACAGCTGCCAAGTTTTCTAAAAGAAAGGTGCTTCTTTAGAAAATTATTTAATTTATAGTTTCAGAATATAATCTTGAAAATATATATGCAAACAATAAAATAAATAACTCATATTTCAGGATCAGAATTTCTACCATTCTGAAAAGCTCAACTTTTCTAAACAGAGACCTTGTCAGTCTGTACTGCCCAGATAGTACTATGTTACCTGTATTTTAATCCTCTTGGAGGCTTTTGGCTTGTAGCCTTATAAAAGGGCAAGGATGTGAAGATATGACATTGATGTAAATATTAAAATTTCCCCTTTTTGAAGTTAAAAATCTGTATCTGCAAGATAATCAATAGCAGTGACTTTAGTAGAGAAGAAGTTTCAGTACAAACAAAATAAAATGGGGAAAAAAAGTAATTTGTGCAAGGAAAATATACTTAAAATAGCAGATGGAAGGTGTAAAGAATTCCCATTTGGAGCAAAAATTTTTTTTGTAGTTTCCTGGGTTTCCTTCCACCAAAACTATTATTTGTGTTATCAGATTTTATCTAACAGAAGTTGATTTTCATGCTATAAATTGAATAGCGAATGAGTGATTAAGGGTAACAATTCCATATATTTCCTGTCTGCAACACAAAATGGCAACTGCCAATACAGGTAATAATTCAATTTAGCCTTCTTGTCCGTCCCCCCCCAAAAAAATACTTTGTCTTCCCTGCAGCATTTCATGAAAACAAATCTTTTTACTTTTCTATCTTAGAACTAATTTACCTTGAAAAAAATTCCAAGTTCAAAAGCAAATTGTTTCTCAGGGATATACAATGGAGTACATAGGCACCAGTTCTTCTTACCTTAAGGCAAAGAAATCGTAAATTAGATTTTAACAGGCCAAATGCAAGCAATATACATTTGTATAACAAGCTCTAATGATTAAAAAAATGATAATTAAAAAAAATCCAATCATATCTACTGTTAAAACTGTAGTTAGTGGTATTTAGTACTGAAGTGAACTCAGATTTGTTGCGATTGTTTATGGACAAACACTGTTGCATGACTTGGAACTATTAAGTCATAAATGAGAAATAACGATTATTGAAATAATGTTCTCTGGAGATTAAGGATAGCAAAATCTACCATTAAGCCTTCAGTAAAGGAAAGATCTATCACAGTGAGAAGAATATATATGGTGCATTTCCAAATAAAATTTGCATCTTTGTGCCACCAGTACAAGTTGTTACTCATGTATTTGTTCAAATACGTACTAAAGTGCATGCAGGATCAGCTCTTTTCTCAGGTGTTGGGAGCTGTTAGTCAATAGTTATCACAGGGCAGGAAGTGTCCTCAGCAGTGGGCACTACTGAACATTAGGATGTAAATACAGTGGGTTGAACCTAGTGCTGCTATCATGGTCCATTAACAGACTGAGGCATGACAAGTGGTGAAGCAGCGTCAGTGTCCATTCAGTAGCAGGAGAAGGAGACAGAGCTAGAGTCATGGTTACAAGCACAAGCTTGAGGTCCATTCTCTGTACAGACTGAGATGGGGAGGATGGTG